GCAGTGCTTGCAGGGACAACAGAAGCCATTTTCACTCCACTAGAAAGAGTTCAGACTTTGCTACAAGACCACAAGCATCATGACAAATTTACAAACACTTATCAGGCTTTCAAGGCACTAAAATGCCATGGGATTAAAGAGTATTATCGAGGCCTGGTGCCCATTCTTCTCCGCAACGGATCGAGCAATGCCCTGTTTTTTGGCCTTCGAGGCCCCCTTAAGGAGTCCCTGCCTGCTGCAAAGTCTCACAGTGCTCACTTGGTCAATGATTTCATCTGTGGAGGCCTACTAGGTGCCATGTTGGGATTCTTGTTTTTTCCAATTAATGTTGTAAAGACCCGCATGCAGTCTCAGATTGGTGGGGAATTTCAGTCTTTCCCCAGGGTTTTCAAAAAAATCTGGCTAGAACGGGACAGGAAGTTGGCAAATCTTTTCAGAGGTGCCCATCTGAATTACCACCGGTCCCTCATCTCTTGGGGCATAATCAATGCAACATACGAGTTCTTGTTAAAGGTTATATGAAAGAAAGCATCAGTTACGTGCCACTTATCAGCTGACCAGACCTAAGAAGAAAATGGCTTGGTTTGGTTCCCAGTTGATCAAATAACAAGTTGGTGTCAGAAGTCCAGGGCACCATGAATTAATGGGCAAAAGCCGTTTTCCTCATGCACCAACAATAACAGAATAAAAGGTTTGAATAGGAAATGTAAAGGTTTTTGTTTTTTCCTATCATTACCTGGGAGCGTTAGACTCTTGGTCTGATTAATAGCTGTCTCTTGGTTGATGATGACCTTTGACAGGGAACCTGATAGCCAAGATAAAAGACTGGTTTGGTTATTGGTTTTTTTCCAAAAACAGGCTTCTAAACCTCTGTATTAAAATAAAGTGGCCATGACTAGCTAGAGAAGAGACTTTCATTAGCTGGTGACTTCTCAGGCTTATTTTTTGTTACTCCATTGTTTCTCTGCATCCTCATTAAACTTGAGCATATACATAGCAGGACAAAGGAGTAGAACCAAGAAGAAAAACCGCTTCATAGGCACAGGCTTCTTATGGTAAACTGCACTTATTAGCTTTTAAGCTTAAGGACCTCTTGAAATAGTCACTTTTTCTGTTGAGACTTGATAGAATCCGGCAGCTAAAGTTTCTGTTTTGCTTTCTAAGTTTGTCTTTTTAAGTGTTAACTTTAAACTCTTCCAAAATTCTCTTGTGTTGATTCCACTTGCTGTATTGCCAAAAGACAAGAGACTAAAGTTTTGTTACAGGAATCCCATCATGTTGAGTTCTGTACTGCTTGTAGAGCAAACTGTTTCTCTCTCGCACTGACTTACTGGTGCCGACTCATCAAGGAGCTTTGGGTTATTTCGTTCATTTTTCCTGTGGACACTTAGGGGCTTTTAAAACCTCCCTCCCCTGGATCATGAATGTTCAAGTATCTTGTTCTCTTGAAACTCTCCTTGAAAGACACAAACTTTTATAACTTTTGAAAACCCAGTGAGAACCCTGGGGGGTTTGGTTTTCTTGCTTCTCAGTGATTTCCCATTTCTGGTGTCTGAATGTTACAGGAGGAAAACCCAAAGCTACTCAGGACAGTGTCCACACAGGGTTACCGAGCCTTCCTTCACTTTTGGAAATAGAGATAACTATTAGGATTTGACATTTTAGAAACCACATTTTAACAACTGTGCTTTAAAGTAGTGAGTTTGGGATTATAAAATCTGTAACAAGATTTTTGAAAGTTACATTAAATTCAGGTATTTGTAACACCCAGGTAGCACACTCGTGGCTTACCTGACACAAACAAAGACTTCTATGTCAAAGGAAGCGGTTTTTAGCACCTCACCCTACCCCACTGCCAGGTATATAATGGAAAAAAGATGGATACAGTGATTAAAAAATAGCATCACATAAGAAGCATCTTGGGGGGGAAAATGGTTTACTGATCTTTTTTAAAAACCCACTTGTGTAAATATAGGTAAGACTGTTTTCCAGCATCTGGCATTGTATAGATTTGTTTCTCTCCATCGTTTGATTTTTCTGGGTAACTGTGTGAGTATTGCATATACCCACCAGCACAAAATCAGGGCCTCAATCGTGAGTTGACTCTGTAGGCAGATAGTATAAAAAAAAAAGTGATTTACCTCCAAATACAGTGTGGCTCATTAAAGTGAACACTCCCAGCTGGTAAGGGGGAGGCGGTCCTCAGGCTTAGCAGAGATGAAGCTCAGCGGCTTTGCTGCATCTCTGAGACCAACACGTAGGAATGGCAGTTTGCCATAGAAACCAAGGTGCGGAGTTAAGGGTTTCTAAAACCAGTTTGACACCAAATAAGTGCTAGCAGCGTCCTTTGACCTAGCGTCTGACCTGAACGAGGAGGATGCTTTGGGCCTGACCCCCTCACATGAGTCAGTCCCTCGGTGGTCGTGGATGGCAGGTTAGGCCCTGGCCCTGGAATAGACTCCTTTGGGGCGTTAGATTTTCAGGGCTTCCTTTTGTCTTTACACTCCATGCAGGTGATACAAATCTAAAGCACTCTATAATATACAAATGAAGTAAATTCTAAGAATGCTTTATGCTGTGTCAAATATATGTGACATTGAAAACAATAAATATTTTCACTGATTTTAACATAAATATTTTTTTTGGGTTTCCTTGTCACCATTTACAGCTTTTGAAGACTGAACTGCAGATACACTATCAAGGATGGTTTGTGTTGTAGGCAAATGTGACAAAAGATCCAACAGAATTTGTGATAACCAGTTATTTTGTCTGAATTTTGAAATGTTACAGTGTTACTAATAAAAGATCCTAACAATAGTTTTTACCTTTAGCATAAGTGTAATTTTGAAAAGGCATAGATGACTGAATAACTTTATCAGAAAAGCTTTAAAAGTGGCCTTTTTGTGATATATGTAGTACAGATCCTAGCAAGCACAGGACACAGGGTTCTGCCTCCTGTACTTTATTCTCTGTGCTACTAGAATATCTTAGGATCTGTATATAATATACCCACAGGAGGCATGAGCTCTCGGGACTACACCAGAGAGTAAATACAACCTTTAAAAATACATCCACACAATCAAATATGTTTTGGATTTCTGTATTTTATACACCTAGAGGTGGTCTAAGCCTTCAGGATTGCACCACAGAGTAAACAACTGCTGCAGAGTCAGTGTGACTCTTAGTGACCCTGTAGGACAGAGGACTGCCTCATAGGGTCAAAGGCTGCAAATCTTCATGAAACACACAGCCTCGTTTTTTTTTCCAAGGAGCAGCTTATGAATTAAAAAATGATGATCTTTCACTTAGCCGCCCAATGCCTAACTTACTGACAACTAAACACAACTTGTATCTGGTGACAAATTGATCCTATTTGTAAATGGGGATAAAGTTGATGTTTTTATCTCAGTAGTCATTCATTTAAACTGTGGTCTTGTAATCCTATGGTCTATATATTGTGAACTGTGCTATAAAACTGTACATTCATACATCTTTGGAGACTTGGACCTGCTCAGTAGAAGACTGTGCAGGGGAATCAGGTGGTGACAGGATGTGTGGAGGGAGACGCCGAGCACTTACTCCACGTGACGTCAGTCGTGTTGAGCACACACCGGCTCCGGTAGTTGGCACTGTGGAGTTGGTACCGAGCGTGCAGCAGTGAAGGTGAGAGGGAAATGACATTTGAGGAGAGAAAAGGACTCAGTTTTGTCTTTTAAATATTTGTTTTCTTGTGTGCAAATAAAGGTGTATCAAAGACCTGACTAGACATTCTTAAATTTTGAAGATTTCTAGTTTTAATGCCCTATTTTTTTCTTAATAAATATTTGCATGCCTAAGTGGCTTCCAAATTGTGTGAGTCTCTCATGTTCCCTTAGGTTCCTCAGGTGGCTTAGCACACAAAGCTGTCTTGAATGTTGTGCCTAGTAGAGTTTGAATGAAATCTGTTAAACATTTCAGAATGAATAGCCTTTTGGTAATTCTGTTTGGAATAAAGTTAATTTTGGGGTTTTTTTTAAAAGTTTATTTAGTCGCCTCTCAAGAACTTTCATCATAGCACTTTTTTGTATGCTAGATAAATCAGTCTCTTCACTGATAAACCATTTTTAGCATACTCCTTCACTTGGCAAGTTCATTGAGGGATTTCTAAGTAGATCATTTGCTTGATCAAGAGCAGATCCAGGTAAGTTAATTTTCCAAATAATTGCAAATGATTTTGGTTTTAAAGGGTTGTTTTCTCTCTCTCAACTACATTAGACTTTTCCCTACTGAGTATAAATTTGGGAAATAGTTTATCAGTAATTTTTGTTTAGGGTAATCCATAGTGTGTTACGCTCCTGACCAAGAGGCCAAGCACCTCAGAGGTTCAAGTCCACCAGTGACTCAGGCGCAAGCTGGGCAGCTCCTGTTAAAGTTTACAGCCTCAGAGCCCATAGAGCCCGCCCATAGAGGAGTTAGAATCTGCTCAGCTCAGTGTGATCTTTAAGGTGATCTAAGGTCATGTTTGCTCAGAGTGGGCCTTTTGAGATTTTTATCTTGTATTATCTACAGCAGTGTACCAGTGCTATCTACCGAGTTAATGGGATTGTGAAGTGTGGTAGCCTGGGGGACTCTCCTAATAGGCTGTTTGCTTTACATATTAGGGAATGGAGCAGTTGCCACTAATGGTTCCTAAAATGGAAATTTTAAGATAGTAATTCAACACTCGGCTGCTGGAAGAAGTGTTCTTTTACCTGGCGGAATAGCCTGCCTGTGTTCTGACCCATGGCAATCAGTGTAGGACTATATAGATAATATTTTTGAAGATACAATATAGTCATGGGTGTTTGCACAGTTGCAGAGGCCTGCTAGTCATCCAGGAGGCTCGCTCCTAACTAGTCCAATGAAAAACAATTTAACACTGTACATAAACCAGTATAAACATTTTAAAAAACCCAAAACTTCCAGTGAGAGAACTTTACCATTAAGAGGACCATGACTAAGTTTAACTTGGGAATTGGGAGTAAGATTGATCTACCTACTGTGTTAGTCTCCTGAGGAATTAATGCTATAATTTTTTAAAAAATGAATACTTCCCTTTCCTCTGCCATGACGACACCACCTTGCCATGGCCTACAGTGTGGAGGATGGTCCAAGCCCCTGCTGACTGCTTCCTCTCATCTCCAGTTAAAATGTTCTGCCCACAGGCACTTTTTTTGGCTTACTGACTGTTCTGCCTTCCAGCCTTCACCAATGCAGAGGTCCTCTGACCTGAACTGTAGCCTTCCCTGATTCATTCAGGAACTCTTAAGAGCGCAACAAATAACACTTCCCCAGGAAGTGTCTGACCAGCTAGGTCAGGATCCCCTGATACAGTGTTCTTAAGAGTCAACATTTTCCTAGTTTTTCATAGCACTTAACACCTCTGTTACAGAAATGTAAATTTTGTATCAAAGTTAAATACTTACCTGGCTAATGTAAGTGGTTTTTTGAAGGATGGGTAGAGTATTCCTAATGAACATATAAAATGTTAATAGCATCTTGGT